AATGTATTGACGTAATAATACAATCGGTTAGTAGATCCAGAAATGCGGTTAGTAGCAATAATAATATATATACAGTCTGGGAAATTCAGTATCAAGTAAGTTTCTTCCTTTTTGAGTCTACGTGCTCGCAACTGTGACTCCTACAAAGCGGTTACCTCACACTCTTACTCTCTCTATTACTCTACCTCTTCCCACTCTATATCTCTCGGGTATTCACCGGCAGCAGTACAAATACACACTAGTCGAGTTCACTTGTATGAAAAAGGGGTGGACCCCATAACAATTTTGACACAAGGTCACAATTAACATGCACCTCGCCAGTGAACACATATGGGATCCCCTTCGCAACCAACAACAATAGATTCGAGGATCCAATTGCCAAAATATAGCCTATGAATAGTTTCTAATAAGCTCAATGATTATTTACATATGGGGGTATATATATGTTGCAAACCCCGAAGAAAAATGTTATGGTCCGGTTCCTTGTACCACGGTGATAGTCCAAGGTAGAACCAATAAACACAGGTATGGAATAACACAGATATATTACAAACAGGAATATATACAGAGAAGTAGAAGTGTTAGTATGAACAATCAGGTTTAGTAGAGAGAACAATGTAGTCTCAACCAGTATCACTATTTGGTGAATATTTGGTTCACGGGTTTCGTTCAAATTACCCGCGTTAAGTTTACCCGGCTAAGCGAGTATATGTGTTTGTATGTACATTGTATATGTAAAAAAGAAATACCAATGTGTTTAAAAATTAAAATCTAAGTATATGTGTTTGTATTTCCGTTTGTGTACATGTATACGTTTGTATGTGTGGTTTTGAAAACAGTCTTGCAGTAATTGTCTGAACGCGACTCTGTTTCGGACTGCTTCTGACTCGACTCTTGACTCGACTTGAATGACTGATTCGACTTGAACTACTGACTCCGCTTGAACTACTGACTGACTGACTCCTTGCCTACTCCTGAGGCGCAGTATTTATTAAGTATGGAATAGTCCGTTATTATTATTATTATGGGTAAGATCCCATAACAAAAAATTAGAAATTTGACCAATTACAGAGAAATTTTAAGGCCATATGAAATGGGTATTAGATCATATTCTCAGGCCAACATCAGCTAATTGGTTTATAATTTTATCACAAAATCCTTCCTAACTGGTAGATTCCTCGGGTTGTTTATTAACGGCCAGTCCTCCGAGACCCTGACGGTCAACGCAGGCGTCCTCCAGGGCTCACCTCGAACGAACCCTCTTTCTGATTTACATAAATGACCAGATCATTTGTGAACTTCTATGCCTGTGATACGACTTTATACGGGCGGACCTCTAAAAGACGATCAGAGATTGGCAGATGACTTCTCTTCAGATCTAACATTAATTTCTCAGTGGGGGAAAATTGGTTGGTTACATTCCATCACCGTCGATCAGACCCCCCCCCCCGAACTACCGCCAGTCACGATGATCAGATGTCTCCTCGAGGAGGCTCCGTGCCTCGTGAGGATATTAGGCCACAAACTCACACCCAACTCCAAGTGGAATTCCTAAATATGATTCATTACTAAAGATCCAGGTAAAATGATCGGCCGCCTTTACCGCTCCTGTAAGTACAAGACTCCTCATGGTACTAATATTATAAGAGCCAGATCAGGTTGAAAATGGAGTACTGTTGCCATATTTGGGTGGGAGCAGCCCACAACTCACTTTCCAGTCTTGATAGAGTTCAAAAAGCGTCTCTGAGTCCTTGTTGGGGAGGGAATTATCTTTCCACCCTTCAACCCCCCCTTACAGGCGGGATGTGACGAGTCTCTCACTGCTCTGTCGCTACTACCAAGGAAAGTGCTCAGTTGAACTATATTCCTTGGTTCCACCAGGTCTAACCTTCATGCCATTTACATAGTAGCAGACCACCCACATTCCCTCTGTATTTAATCGGCAAGAATTAAGTTCCACTCAAAGAGCTTCTTCCCGCGAACAGTCTCCCTAGAAGATGTTTCCCTGATCAAAAAAATCTTAACCTGTTCAAGTCTAGAGTCAACCGTTATCTTCTTCTCCTATCCATATAAATTATCGCTTATCGTAACTCTCTACCTCGAGTGACTCACCCAGGCCTTTTACAAGGTGAATTTACTGTAAAAAAAATCAATAAAATAGTCTTATTTTAATAACAATCACATAAAACAAACATCGATTCTGTTGAAAAAATTCAATCATTCGAAAACGTTTCTTCAGGGGATTCTGGGATTAGGGGCCATAAAGCTTAAGTTTCATTAGTATTGTGTAAAAAAAAACTGACTTACTTTCTCTACACTTATTGAAATATGGACTCGTTCGTCTCTTGTGTTTAGTTTCATATTAGATCTGCCATTAAGAACTGCACACTTAGATGCCGGGGGTGCCAGAAAATGCCTGTCAGTTCTCTTTTGGGGTCACCTCAGGCATCAAAATTTGACTCTGGCCCTACACCTTTAAAAGTACAATGAGAAAGGTTCAGCCTTAAACTAGTTTACGTTTTCTTCAGTGAGTGTTCTCATTAACAAAACCTTCCTGTTTATGACAGCGTTCTATCAAATTTTTCAAACCACCACTAATTCCCAAAGCACGCATAATGGCAAATTCACAAAGTCTGTTGTGGTGGAGCCTGGGATTGGACTTGAATTAATTTCCACTTCTACGTAAAAGAAAAAAAAAAACGATGAGATTGATTTTTGACCAAGAACACTTTTTCTTTCGAAAATAATTTCAATGGTTAGCATTTTCAGTTTTTTTTTATGTCGACATGCCCGAGTGAATAGGAGTGAGACATTTCTCGCGTCTAAATTGTATCTAAATATGTATATATATATATATATATATATATATATATATATATACACAAAATATGCTCAAAAAAAATGACATTTGATTAATCTGTAAGAAAAGAATTACTAATTACTCCTGAAAAAAATGTCAATCCTTCAAAATAAACCAGTTCACGTCTTAGCACACTAACAAAGTGTATTGTGAAGTCCGTAGTACAGGGCGATTGAAAAGTAACGCCCTATTTTATGTATAATGGACTCTCCCGTTTTGTAAAAATTATAGTTAGACAGGAGAGTCCATTATATATATTTGCTTCACGGGCTTCGTTCAAATTACCCGTGTTAAGTTTACCCGGCTAAACGAGTATATGTGTTTGTATGTGCATTGTATATGTAAGTATTCGTGTGTGTACGTATGTAAGTATATGTGTTTGTATTTCCGTTTGTGTACATGTATATGTTTGTATGTATGGTTGTGATTTTGTGCCTTCTTTTGTGTACTTATGTGTCTATTTGTGTGTGTGTATATGTGTTTGTGCATTTTGTTTGTTTTGTTTTACGGCATATCAACACTTCAATGGGTTATTTAATGCCGATAAGATTTTTATTACTGGCAATATTTTTTTTTCAAAAATGTATTGCTGATAATATTTTTTTCAAAACTTTATTGCTGGTACGAAAATATATTTTTTCACCTTCCTAGTATTTTGACCCCAGTTTCTGGGTTAACTATTTTCCCATAGCTAGGACCCTAACAGGTGCTACCACCCCGGGTCAGGGTGGACCTGGGAACACGCCCTTCAAAATCTCCTGATCAGAGGCCTTGCTGCTGGACGCAGTTTATCGTCTTACCCAGGACGCGGATGTAGTTTGTCGTCATACCCAGTACGGTTGTGTGTTTGTGCATGGGTGGTTTGTATGTGCAATTGTGTACGTGTATGTTTGTGTGTGCATGTGTGTGTTTCTTTGTCTCGATGTGTGTGTGAGAGCTTCTGTTTGTGCTTTTGTATGTGCGTTTATGTATGTGCTTCTGTGTGTATTTTTGTGTGTTTCTATGTTTGTGCGTGTGTTTGTATGTGAAATTGTGTATGTGTGTATTTTTACATGTGTCTTTATATGCTTATCTGAGAGTTTGTATGTGTGTGCTTGCGTATGTGTGTGTGTTTGTGCATAACTGTGTTTGCATACGCACTTGTGTGTGTTTAAGCCTTTGTGTCAAGAGACAGAAAAACTTCGTTGGAAACAAAGAAAACAGAACTGAACTGTTACGCGATATCTGTCCTCCTCTATGGCAACGAATGCTGGACAATCTCCTCAAAGATGAAGAAGAGACTTGAAGCAACAGAAATGTGATTCTACAGAATGATGTTGAGGATACCATGGAGTGAACATGTGTGCAACGGCGAGGTTTTGGAGAAAATGTAAACAAAAAGGAAAATTATACTTAACATCAGGAATAAGCAGTTGAGGTTTCTGGAGCTCGTAATGAGGAAAGAGTACTTGGAAAACTTAATACTTACGGGACAGATTGAGGGAAAAATGGACAGAGGAAACCAGTGTGTAATATACTTGATGAGCTACAGTAAATGGATGGTACAACAGGGTTTGGAAGAAATATGAAAAAGATAAAACTTATTAAGAGCTATAAGTGAGAGAAAGATGTGGAGGGCCATGATCGCTTATGTCTTGAAGGAACGTGGCACATAAAAGAAGTATGTGTGTGTGTATGTGCATTTGTTTATGTGTGTGTTTGTTTATGGATTGATGTAAGTGTGTATATGTTTATGTGCGTGTGTGTGTTTGTGTGCATGTGTTTGTGTGTGTGTGTGCGGGCGTAAAATGTAGAATTCTTCTTAAAATAACTTCTTGGAGAGAATGCTTTAGATTTTAATTCCAATAAGAAGCTTTTTTAAACATATTAGTTCTTATACCGCATCTGATGCCAAAGACGCACACGTCCGTTTGTGTGTGTGTGTGTGTGTGTGTTTTGTATGCGTATTTGCTTATATGTTGGGTTTGGAAATACTATCTATCCTCTTCAGTGTCCTAACACAGAAAGGTTTTGTTAATGAGAACATTCGTTGAAGAAATCTTAAACACGTTTGGATTGGAAAATAGCTTAAATTCCTTTGAATTTGTTTGACGCATGTACTTTTAGAAAGGTATGTATGCGTTCACCCACCCATAGATAGCTAGATATGAAAAGATTGAGATGGGGAGATAGACAGGTATGAACAGACTGAAATAGATATGAGAGTGAGAGAGAGAGAGAGAGAGAGAGAGAGAGAGAGAATCAGGCATACACAGAAATGTATGAAAATAGGTAGATAGATACGAACAGACAAAACGGTCGATCGATAGATAGATAGATATGAATAGATTGACATAGATAGAATTGAACATAGATAGATAGATAGATAGATAGTGTTATAGTGGAACACACCTATAGTTAATAGACTCTCCCAGCTATAATAAGTAGGAGTAGTAAGAGTAACGTGTCAGTCGGTGAGTCAGTCGATGTCGGACGACAGTTAGTCGAATACTAAAATATCAGCGACCACAACCAGATTACTCTGCGTCATACCTATTATATCCAGTTCCTAACGTTTTGTACGTCGAACCAATTTTAGGACCGACTTAGTACAAATACAAGTCTCCACTGTGAAATCACTCCACAACAGATAGATAGATAGATAGATAGATAGATAGATAGATAGATAGATAGATAGATAGATATGAACAGATTGGGATATATATGTATATATCTTGCGTATATCTTGGTAGCTTGTTTTCATTAAAACATGTCTCATTGAATCATTTGGACAAGTTTTGATAATGATAATGTTGTAGCATACCTGCAGACGATAATGGGTATGTCCCCATTCACATAAATACGGTAGTAAATACTGTATGTTGGTCTGCAGTTGGAGATTCGTCTCACACTTTTCCCTCCGGGCGGAGATGATCCCCAGACGAGGCTATGTCGAAGCGCAGAATCTCGTCTCGGGAATCAGCTACCCGACCACATTTTATACGGGGAATTAAATTAAATTCTGCCTTGTGTCACATCTGACCGCGTGGGGCGGTTGGTAGATATCCTGCAGTTGGAGATTCATTGTGGAATTCACTTGACTCACTTCTAGCAGTTGACTACTTCATCTATGCGCCATTGGCGAATCTTATATGTGTTACTCTTGTCCTAAGTATTATCATTCATTACCAACTTTCGTTTGTTTATTCTATCCAGTGACCTTCCACTGGTAGGTAGATATGAAAATATTTGGATAGATAGATAGATAGATAGATAGATAGATAGATATGGGCAAATTGATATATATATATATATATGTGTGTGTGTGTGTGTGTGTGTGTGTGTGTGTGTGTGTGTGTGTGTGTGTGTGTGTGTGTGTGTGTGTGTGTGTGTGTGCGCGCGCAGATATGTAGAAAAATAGGAAAGACCATGTTAGGTAAATAATCCAGAGTTCTTTACTATTTTTGTTTTTTCGCTACATAAGAGTTCTCATGTTTCAAAAACGAGAGCCGAAAACCTCAGTATAATTATTAAACACAATTTAATTTTAATAATTATATTGAGGTTTTAAAAAATGAGAACTCTTATGTAGGGAAGGAATCATATTTTTAAAAAAATAATTATAATACATATATATATATTATGTAATATATATATATATTATGCAATATATATATATATATATATATATATATATATATATATAGAGAGAGAGAGAGAGAGAGAGAGAGAGAGATAAATAAATATGAACACTATGAACAGATTGAGATAGATGTGAACAGATAGATAGATATGAACAGATTGTGGATCAATAGAATTTATACCAAAACTAAATTCAACTTAGTAAATAGCGAACCACTAGTGTGCCATTATCTGTTTTAACCAGATGTTCAGTTAACAGAATGTTGGTAAGTAGGTAAGTTCTTAGGTAACAGCTGGATACGCCCTTTGGTTTGAGTGACCAACGGAGCGTTAAACAACCCTAGCGCCAAACTGTGTCACGCTAAATATTCTTTTTGATTATGTCAATAGAAAACAAACCTCCTTGCCGACTCATTCTTTTCAACCACAAATTTGACAAAATAAATTCTTTTCATTACATTCGTTCCTTTCAAAGCAAAAGTAAAATTATTATTTTTTTTTATGTTGTTTATTTATTTTCGTGAAGTGACCCGACACCAGACAAGGCGAAAAATATCTTACGTCTTTTTTTGTTCTAAATACGGTCGCCTGCTTGTAAAATGATGCTGTGGTAACGTAATTCGACGAAGTGTAACGCTTTTCTTCCGGTCGACTGAATTCTGGGTAATAATGCCAAACACATTAAGTATTTTAAATTCTTCGTCGGTACTATTTCTAGTGATAAAAGCCCAGTCGATTAATGTTTTCCGTCTATATTCTTGATTCGTGACACGATGTTCACAAAAAAAACTCCTCTTTGAACGGAACACTGTGTTTTTTTTTGTTTTTTTCTGTTTTTTAATTATTTATTTTTGCCACATAAAGGTTGATTGACAGTTTGGGCAATTTTTAAACTTAGGACGAGATAAAAAAAAAAAAAAAAGTCTCAAAAAAGCACATTTTTCTCTTGCTGCTGCTGCTGTATACTGCCTTGGTGATTTTTATCCTTTTAAAAATGTATATTAACGAGAAAAATGTGTAAATTCAGTTTCATGTACCTTCACAAAAACAGGATACCTAACGTTTTTAAATGAAATTTTTCTAATAAAAAATTTTTCTTGAAGCGTTGATTTGGTTTTAATTTCAAATTGAGAGATTAAATTTAATATTTCCAATAAACAAAACACTTTTTTGCTCTATTTCAAAACTAATAATTTTAATAAAATTCTAAAAGTACATTTTTAAAACCATAAAAATTACCGTAGGAGGTTTATTTTTTTTATTATCTTATTATTTTTATTTATTTATTTATTTTTGTTAATTTTTTTTACAAAACAGACTTAAAAAATGAAAATCTCCAAAAATAAAATCCCAAATTAGAGAGCCCTTACTGCCTTCCATAAACATGGCTAATGCTAACCTCCAGAAGACTGACTTTTCTCAGGCTAACATTCTTAGTGGACATGAAGTGGAAAGAATATATTGAATCCATTGCTTGGTCTACTGCTAAGAAAGTCAGTTCACTGTGTCAAGCGAGACGATTTTCCTCTCCAGAATCTATTCCACATATCTATAAGTCTACCATTCGTCCATGCTTCGAATATTGCTGTCACATATGAACAGGTACTCCTGCTAGCTTCTTGATGAAATCCCAAAACAAATCAGCAATAATATTGGTCCTGATATGGCATATCAGCTTCAGTCACTTTCCTACTGTCATAACAAAGCTTCCTTGTACATTTTCTATAAATACTTTCATGGTAATTGTTCAGATAAACTCTTCCCTATGCTACCTAGACTTTATGAATTTAAACGCAGTACTAGATTGGCAACAAGGTCTCATCAATTTACAATTGATGTAACCGTAAGTTCTATTCTAAGAGTTTCTTTTCTCGCACTTCTTACTTGTGGAACACTCTTCCGGTTTCTTGCTTTGCAACCAACTTTAATCTTTTGCTCGGAGTGACTTCGGTTTAAAAAAAACCTTGGAAATAAAAAAAATGAATAAATAGTATCTGTCTATATCTCTGAGATGAGGTATTATGATTATTTGCATTATTTAAATTATTCGGACTGTTATCCTCATCTTCATCGCAGTATTCACAACGTTATCTTCCGTTGTACGCTCCAAAAAAAGGTTAAAAAGGATTTCAACCAGTATATTTTATTTCGTCCACCAGGATAGATTGTTTCATGTGCCAGAGTTGAGAGTTGAGTTAAAAGGAAATAAATGAGACATCCAAAAGAGGCATGGCACGTGGAACTAGAACAATCTACCGCGGTAGACGAAATAAAGGGTTCGGTTCGAAATCCCAATCACCCGAAGAAGGTCGGAGCGTACAACGGCCTAAACGTTGTGAATATGGCAATGAAGATGAGGATAACAGTCCGAATAATGTAAATAATGCAAATAATGATAATACCTCATCTCAGAGATATAGACAGATCCAGAAGAAGGCCGGAGCGTACAACGGCCGAAACGTTGCGAATATGGCAATGAAGATGAGGATAACAGTCCGAATAATGTAAATAATGCAAATAATGAATAAATAGTGTTTAACATTTTTATTGTTCTCGATAAAAAAAAACAAAAAAACATTTATAAATTCAGTTTCATGTGTCATAGTTTCATTATAATTCTAAAAAGCCTTTTTAAAACAAATTAACTGAAGTCGCATGCAGTAATAGCGGTGGCAAGAGAAAAACCTACTTGCGAGAATGGGAAATATAGGATGCGGCAGAAATACCTCCCACCCATACCACCCATAAATACCTCTCACATAATAATGGTAAGACATTAGCTGGATGAAAACATAATGGCCACTAATGTCTTACCGTTATGTGATGAGATTTTCTGGGAAAATATATATATAAAATACTCTATCACCCAGTATCGGATTTACCTATAAGCTTAGCAGGCCTAGGACCTCAACATCTAGGGGGACCTCCAGCCAAGGTGTATAATATTTTTGACACTGTCATAGGCCTTTCTTACACATGCTGTCATAACGCATTATAGATTCTAAATAACTCTTCAGTAATTTTGAACACCCGTGATCATCCTCAGCTTTACTCAAATCGTGTAATTCAACTCTTTCATTTTACTCTACTCGTAAAAATGGGAGATCTAGAGGGGCCTCGCAAATGGAATAGCCCAGGGTCTCTCTTCATCTAAATCCGACCCTGGTCACACTCTGTATTATTATTTTATGTCTATAAAGACAAAAGTATACGTATCTCGCCGCCCCGAATATCAAAGGGAAAATAGAAAGAACCTTTCAGATAGCGATTTTCCAAGCGTAGCTCGGATGTGGCACAAGGCCGAAAGTATGGGGCACCCAGTGAGGATCGAACTCACTGCTCAGTCGTAATTGTTCTAGCGAGACAAGCTTGTTAACCATTACACCACCTCGAGGCGCCCAAGAACCGTTCAGATATAGCACCGTCTGTTATTTACTAAGAGATAGAAAGAAGAAATTGTGAAGAGCCATGATCGCTAACGTTCTGAAACGAAATGGTATATATAGAAGAAGAAAAGGAAGAAGACAGACAGTCTCGAGTGACCCTTAGATAACAATGATTGGTCCTTTTTTTTAGCCATTCAGTGTCCTCGTTTCATTCTGTTTTATTAGTTTTATTTTCTGACTGATTATACAAAATTCCCGTTACTCGAAGGTCGATATTCACAGACGAATAAAAGCAATGGGACGTTTTATTTGCATTCAAGCTACACACGTGCAGAATAAATCTAGAAAGTAAATAGTTTGGGTTACATCACAACACAAAGCTGCATTGCGACTGTTACATTCTTTCTAAAACCAGATCTTCTGATTCATGCTACACTAATTTCCACACTGACCAGATGTGAACGCTCCGAACATCCAAAACTGTACTAAAATTCCGTCAGCTGGACAAGGCTTTGCACATATTTTCCGTTTTCACTCACACACCCAAAGAAAAAATAAGCAATACAATCCAGAATTTCCACCTAACAGCACCCATTTCCGTCTAAATAAACCAAATGAAAAACGGAGTTGATTTGAGCCTAAGAAAGGACATAAAAAGCCCATCAAAGGGACATTTTCGGCATTTGGGCGGCATCTTGGGCCAGATTCACAGACTTCGTCAGAAGGCGACCTCGGATCACCAAGAGTCAGCTCGCTAAAGGTCATCGCCCAAGTAAATCACAACTCATCTTCCTTCTCGTTCCGTACGCCTCTATGGACGCCTTTTACAATTCCACTTATCTCCCCCTTTTTTTTTTCAACGAGAGACATTTACACCGATTTATCATTTGTTGTATTTTACGTTAATACAATTGTTTATTTCTTTATACCTTCGTTTTTTTCTTCTTTGTTCTATCACCATACGCTTAATATAACAGATAGATATAAAGAAAGAAAACAAGAAGGAACTGAATTTAATAGATAGATAGATAGATAGATAGATAGATAGATAGATAGATAGATTTAAAAAAACAAGAACGAACTGAATTTAATAGATAGATCAACAAAATAAAATACTCGCCAGCGGTGTGAAGTAGGTAAACCACTACTAGTGGTGGACTACTTAGACACCATATTACCCCAACTTACAATAGTGTCTAACGTAATTTATGAGGATTGGGATATACCCATTAGTGCTCATAGGTAAGGTATATAACAGATAGATAGATAGATGGATAGATAGATAGATAGATAGATAGATAGATAGATAGATTCTTCCTAAAACCAGTTCTTCTGATTTATGCTACACTAATTTCCATCAATGGCCGGATGTGAACGCTCCGAAAACCCAAAATTGAACTAAAATTTCTTCAACTGCGCAAAACTCCGCATATAACTTCTGTTTTTACTTACACACTTAAAGAAAAAATAAGCAATATAATCCAGAATAGCACCCACTTCTGTCTAATGAAACAAAATGAAAAACGGTGTTAATTTGAGTCTAAGAAAGGACATAAAAAGCCCATCAAAGGGACATTTTCGGCATTTGGGCGGCATCTTGGGCCAGATTCACAGACTTCGTCAGAAGGCGACCTCGGATCACCAAGAGTCAGCTCGCTAAAGGTCATCGCCCAAGTAAATCACAACTCATCTTCCTTCTCGTTCCGTACGCCTCTATGGACGCCTTTTACAATTCCACTTATCTCCCCCTTTTTTTTTTCAACGAGAGACATTTACACCGATTTATCATTTGTTGTATTTTACGTTAATACAATTGTTTATTTCTTTATACCTTCGTTTTTTTCTTCTTTGTTTTATCACCATACGCTTAATATTACAAATGATGTCAGAAGCGTGAGACCGGAACGAGAAGATGGACTTCAACGTATTTACTCGCCACGAAATGCTAGAGCCAATGAAACAGGAACGAGCAACCATTCTCAAACTGAAAATAAATTCGAAATCCATAAGCGAACATCAAGCCAGAATCGCTGACGAACTTCAGACAGAACGACACTAAATGCTGACGGCTGTCAACTCTGCCTCCGTCCGGATCTTGCACAAATCCCAGACCTCAACAGACTACGAACTACTCATGCGACTACAGTCCTTATTTGACACTATGTGCGTCGTAAAACGTTTCTATCCGGGTAACGACGTCAATCGGTTCGTAACCGATTTAAACCAGGCATACACAATCCACGTAAAATCCGAGCACATTATCCGAGGCAATTCCTTGAAGAGAGCATATTCCAACATGGAATATTCTCAACAGACTACCTCCTTGTACAAGCAGCTGAGGGCCTACCTGCTAAGAACCCACGGAAATCAAATGACGAACTTAGCCGAGCATGGGACCTGCAACGATGTGACGGCGAAAAGATCACCGATTTTGCAACCGGCTCGAGACCACGATCAGAGAAGCTGCAGATCATATAAAGGCGAAGTTTTAGACGAACAGCAACAACAATTCCAAAATGAGCACCGACAACTATTTTTATTTTCACATAGGCGCGATGCTCATGAGTGAAAAAAATTATGGCCTGGGCTTCGAACATATACCCCCACCTCGTAAAGACAATGAACAGCCACTACTCGGCAGGTGGCATAGCAAGCGACGTCCAACGCTACCTCGACCGCGGTATAAAAACAGACGCTATCCCCAGTCTGACCGCAGACATAATGTACGCGCAAAAACAGCGACCACTTACACAAACGGATCAAGGTGTTCATCAGGATCTTACTGACCCGAAAGCGTCAAATACAACAGATATACCGACAGACAAATCACCCAATGCATGGCCAGAACGCCTCTACGAGAATGGAGCACGACGACATAACCTCGAGACGGAACTAGAAACGCACGCCCACAAACAACTACAATAACTGCTGTCTGCAGGCCGGAGACAAAGTCTTACTACACAGATCTCATTCAGCCACATTCCACAAATCACATCTGCTTTGATCGGGTAGTTACCAAATCATCAATACGAACAACATGGTGCTCCAAACTTTAAACGTTTATGGCGAAACTAGTTGGGTCATGTGCCCACTTAGGTCGCCTTGTACCTCGGCCTGATCACCTTATTTAGACGAACTTGCCCTCTTCTCCACAGGCTCTCCAAGTGACGCCCGACCCAACACCTCATCCTTTGTCTGACGACCATGTAAACAATGAAAACTACAGATCTAGTGATCTCACGCAGTCATCAGTTCTGATATTCCAAAGAAGAAATCCCAAAAGACAAACACGTGGTCAGCTACCGAAACAATTAAATTTCATTAAGCACTAAAAGAAAGAGAAGAAAGAGTATCATCATATATAAGACCCAACAACCCACCCGTGGATCAGAATAAAATCTAGGGAAGCTGTTACATTCTTCCTAAAACCAGATCTTCTTCTGATTCATGCTACACTAATTTCCACCAAGATATGCGACGCACGAATGAATATACATAAGAATGGAGCTGATAAGTGACTCATCTGCGCCGTGACCCTATGACCACACCCGATCACTGGATTCGTGATAATTTTCTCTGTACGCTTGTAGTTATTTTCTGAAATGAGACCTATAGATTTTTTTTTCGGATAAATGTTTTAAAAGTTAATATTTCGAGGAAAAAAATAAAGATTTTCTATTTATTTTGGCATTTAATGGCAGTAACGATTTCAAATAAATGGTTCAGCCCATTAACACTGAATTCGACGAAAGCCAAGAGAAAAAAAAAAACAACAATCTTGTTTAGTTTACAGTTTCAGCATGAGATTGGGCGGGTCGCTGAGACCTCCCCCCCCAAAAAAAGAAAACAACGTGCAAATCTTTGGTTTTGTTTAGTAATGCCCGGGGCCAACTACCAGATTGTATGGCCCTAAGACTCAAGTATGGTGGGGATCTATAGGACCTAGTACTGAGAAATGTGAAAAAAGGAAGACATTTTAAATATGTAAAAAGAGATGAAATAAACACTTTATTCTGTTTAAATATAAAATAAATTTTTATATCATTCTTTGATTGGATACCTTTCCGATATGGATGACCGGTAACGTCGCATCCTCATCTGCACACTGCTTCTAGCCAGCCGTCTGCTAGCGGCGAGGAAGAGGCATTGTATAAGCCCGATCTGACGTTATCAGACATTTGGTTGTCTCCGAAATTGAAAAGCCCACACTTTTCAGCCGATTCCAAAGTTGCTGTAGGCAACTGAATCAAAGAATCCGAAAGTTCGCATAGCTAAATCCTGGACCGCCTTAAATAAAATGTATATAATATGGAATTCTATCAGACAACATCAAGCGGACATTCTTTCGAGCAACTGTAGAGGTGGTGTTAATGTATGGTGCCACAGCTTGGACGTTAACTAAAACCCTAGAGGTCTAAGCTTGATGGAACTTACACTCGGATACTGAGAGGTATATTTAACATCTCCTGGAGGCAACATCCAACTAAATCACAGCTCTATGGACTCATCCCTACAATCCTACGCGAACGCAGAATATGCTTTGCGGGACACTGCTAGCGAGCAAAGCAAGAACTCGAAAGTGATCTACTTCACTGGACATGCAGCCATAGAGCAAGATAAGTTGGTCGCCCATCAACCACCTACATTGACCATCTATATTATGACATATTATGCCACCCATTCCGACCTTGATGCAGGGCTGTGGTGGTTGGCGTGATAGATTCATGAATGTCCGAGTTCGCTTGACTGAATACAAAAAAAAAAAAAAAAATTAATTTTGAAGAGAAATAAATTTACTTCATTTTGATGCGAGTTTCATTATTCCAGCTGGTCTAAAACCTGTTTGTTTGTTTTTTTCAGGATTGGATACCTTTCTTAGTAATCAATTCTCGTATTATCGAAACAGTTAACAGAACCCTGGGTTAATACAATACGCCGAATCACAGTTATAATACTTTGTCTTGACTTGTATCGGTTTTCACCCTGGTCGGGTTGAATCGGCTTCCTCCCGAGCAAGTACAGCATCCCGGACCATCGCAGACCACGCTCGCCGATCCTGAGCCAGGTTACACGAAATGGCGAGCCAATCGCGATTCCATCGTCGAAGACCAACTACTTGTGGACCCGATAGTACTGCTAGGTCATCCTTGATTGTGCTAGCCCATGTCCTCAGCTCCCCACCGACATGTTTTCGCCAGCCAGGAAGAGAAGGAGGGAGAAGTACATCATGAATGAGCTCTCCCTCCGGGCGTCGAGCTGCGTGCCCGAACCATCCGAGACGACGCTGGAGCAGGACGGGCGGAAGAGGACGGAGACTCAGGCGCCTGAGAGTTATAATACAATAGCCAGTAATATTTTGGTTGGGTTGTTTCTGTTGTGGCAATATGTTTTCGATTTAATCGAACGTAAAGGGGAGACAGAACGAGAGGTAAACAATGTTTTTTTAAATTTTACTGTGGGAGCCTACTCCTACGTTGAGTGGGAGACAAAATTTACCCATTTCCTTAGAGAAAATTGGACCTCTCCAATTTTAATATCAGATTCAGGCCTCCCCAATTTTAATAACAGATTCAGACCTCCCCAATTTTAATAACAGATTCAGACCTCCCCAATTTTAATAACAGATTCAGACCTCCTCAATTTTAATATCAGATTCAGGCCTCCCCAATTTTAATATCAGATTCAGACCTCCCCAATTTTCATAACAGATTCAGACCTCCCCAATTTTAATAACAGATTCAGGCCTCCCCAATTTTAATATCAGATTCAGACCTCCCCAATTTTAATAACAGATTCAGACCTCCCCAATTTTAATATCAGTTTCAGGCCTCCCCAATTTTAACATCAGTTTTTGTCTCCACCCGTAACATCTATATTAGTTTCCCGCACTTTGGCATATAATTTAGCAACTTTAATATTTGACTTAGCCCCCTACACTATTTATTTTGTGGTGGGCCCCCTTTTGAGGGTGTCATGAGACAATAATTATATTCATATATCACTTCACCACATAGAAAAGGATTCTGTAAGTGGCGCGTTTTTAAGTCAATCGAAAGGTTTAACATCTGATGCCTCAGCTCGTGGCCGACGGAACAAAATGACCGGGTGGTGGATGTTGGTTATAAATAAATCAATTCCTGGTTAGAAGCAAGAGCGTCGACATGTGATTAATGTTCCGTCAAATAAGACGGAAATTTAGAAAACTTCCATCGTCCAATAATAGATGTTTCAGACTATATCTCTTCCTATTTTATCTTCTTTCTTTCTTTCTTTCTTTCTTTCTTTATTTATTTATTTATTTATTTATACCTTTCCGTCTGTCTGTCTGCATTTCTTTATTTTTTCTTTCTTTTTTTCTTTCTTTCTTTTTTTCTTTCTTTCTTTCTTTCTTTCTTTCTTTCTTTCTTTCTTTCTTTCTTTTCGTCTTTATTTCCTTGTAGCTTTCCGTCTTTCTTTCTTTCTTTCTTTCTTTCTTTCTTTTCGTCTTTCTTTCTTTTCGTTTTTCTTTTTTTCTTTCTTTCTTTCTTTTCGTTTTTCTTTCTTTCTTTCTTTCTTTTCGTCTTTATTTCTTTCTTTATTTCTTTCTTTTCGTCTTTATTTCCTGATAGCTTTCTGTCTGTCTGTCTGTCTGTCTTTCTTTCTTTCTTTCTTTCTTTCTTTTCGTCTTTATTTCCTTGTAGCTTTCCGTCTTTCTTTCTTTCTTTCTTTCTTTTCGTCATCTTTCTTTCTTTCTTTCTTTCTTTCTTTTCGTCTTTCTTTCTTTCTTTCTTTTCGTTTTTCTTTCTTTCTTTCTTTTCGTCTTTATTTCTTTCTTTCTTTTCGTCTTTATTTCCTGATAGCTTTCTGTCTGTCTGTCTGTCTGTCTGTCTGTCTTTCTTTCTTTCTTTCTTTCTTTCTTTCTAACTCCGATCTTTTTTTTTCTATTTCAGAGATGACAATGTTATCAACAGGGTAATTTAAAAATATGTGACGAAAACAGAAAGAGCTACACGAGGTCTGTCTGAAAAGTAACGGCACGAGTGGTGCTATGGACGAAAGAGGGGTAAACAAATTGTGTTATCATCTAACACGATTTCTTTGAAGTATCTGACTGTAATCTTAGCTTTTTGTAATCATTGTCCTTTTTCCACGTGCTTTTGTGATAGGAAACATCGTAGCTGCTTCACCACGACAATGCATCTGCTCACAACGCCCTGAGCATCCGGCAGTTACTCACCGAGAAGAACATCGCCGTACTGGAACAACCTCTCTAATCCCCTGATCTTGCAGCGTGTGACTTTTTTCTTTTCCACGAGAAACAAAAAGTGTATTTAAAATCAAAATATAAAAAAATGTTTCATCATCAACATCAGTCCCATGACGTTTTCTTGCGTGTACTGATGTGTATTTTTTAGGTTACAATTGTTTTACGGTACATGTGATAAAAGTGAGAAATTTACTCGGTAATATTACAAGCCATATCAAAGAGAGAAGTTAGACACGTGTTGCCCGTACCAAGGTTCGTGGTGAAGAGATTGAATTTAACATCTTTTGACAGGATGTCCGTATTTCCAACTGGGAGTATTTGTATTATTTTTAATTTTTATTTAATTTATTTTGTACGTTTTTATATTATTGTTTTATTTTATTTATAATTTTCTTTATTATTATTTTATATTTTATTTTTATTTATTTATTTATAATAATAATATTTTTACAGTCTATAGGTGTCATTTCAGACTCAAGCTCAAAGAGATCATCAAGAGGACCCATTTTGAAGGCGTGGAGGCCATCAAGAGGGCCGTGTCGACAGAGCTCCAAAAACTGCATCCAAGAAGAATCTGTCCAGCAGTACATAGAAGCGTGACAGAGAAGAATGGAAAAGTGCATTTGAAGGGGAAACCATATTGTTTCTTGTTTGGAATTGAAATAAACCCTTTTTGACACAATTCCCATTACTTTTCAGACACACTACGGATGATCTAAAATTGCTTAAGGTTTTATTTTTTCTTAATATATTTGGTAAACTATGCATTATATTGTAGAGACCGGTTAGTTGATGTGACCTCACGAATTTATATTTAACACAAAATACCACAAAATATGAAACAATAAGAAGGAACACAAAACGGTTTCATGACAAGAATATTCATATTTATGTAAGTCAATAATATGCAAGCATAACAGGGTTACTTCCCTTTGACCAAAGTTAAAGTCTTCACTAAGGAAATATTTTTTCTGAGCCCATAAAAAGTTGAATGACCTTGCCGCTCAAAATGTTCATTGTGAGAGATTGAAAGAATTCTGTAAAGCTGAGAATATGTTGATAAACTTTTAGCTTCAGAAGATTTGAAGGAGTGAATGCTCCGTAATGTTTGTAATTGAGTTTCTGTTGCTTGTAGTTGAATATTCGTAATACGTTGATGCTTGTAATGTTCTGTAATGTTCGTAATGTTTCTAATTAAGTTTCCGTACGTACGTGTATGTGTGCGTGTGTGAATATGTTTTCATAGCGTCCGCCCATAAAGGGTTGAGACGCAATTCCTTTAACAGCTACATTTTCGTAAGCGAGATATCTCAAAAAAGGAGGAAGAACGAACTTGTGTCTGGTATTTATATTAAACGTAATCACGTGATCGGTTCGAAAGAGTATTTTTGATTTTTGGCACAAAAATGGTTTTGAATAACGCGTAGGCGTTGTGCAGACGTAGGCGAGAAAATGATTTTAATATTAACTGACCAATGAGAGGTGAAAAATATCAAAGCTCTGTGATTCACTTTTTGCACAGATTTACACAAAAATTGATATTGATAGAGAAGTGGTAGCAGGATGCTAAAATATGATTATTTTCAGCGTTACCTTGTTGGCAAAGTGAGCTTGATCCCTCTACCAAAAGAGCTCACCTTCCGAATCAAGGCTTGCAGACACAAGTATAAATACGGCCAGTGTTTACCAATAGACTCAATAATGACCAATGTTTACCTTTTGACTCAACTTTAAACCCGAGCAAAGCTTACTTTTTGACTCTAGTATAAAGCAGACAACAGTTTGCATATAGACTCAAATCAGACAAATATTTACTAGTAGACCTAAGTATAAACTCAATCAATGTCTACCTTTTGACTTAAGTATAAAGCCGACCAATGTTTACCTACAGACTCAAGTATTAACTTGATCAATGTTTACTTTTTGACTCAG